GGCTGCTGTTCTCTTGCACTCTTCTTACTAAACCAGAATCGAGTCTGGGAAGTCAGACTTGAACCCTCAGAGGCGATGACCTCTTATTTCAGCAACTCTGTTATTGGTTCTCAGCGTTTTCCTCAGCCCGTTCTTCAGGACAGAAGACCAGAGCACTCAATGCTCAGCTTGTAGTCTGTTTTGGCTAAGCAAGGACCTGACACCCTACTCTCAACCACAAACCTGCACGTTTTGGTAAGAGATCTCCTGAAGCCCTTGCAGCCTGTAGTGAGTCCCTAGGAAACAGTCGAGGACCCGAGCGGGCACGAGACTCAAGTATTCCGTGGAGTTTTCCATATAGGGAACCAGGCTTCCCAGAGGCAGCAGAGTGAACCAGGATCGGAAGAGGTACTCATCCACACACAGCAGCTGCTTCCTGCTCTCCATGAAGCTAAGAAACTGGTTCCTGAGTGAAGAAGCCGGGACAGAGACCAGGGCATCAGAGAGAGCATTGAACGGACTCAAGGCAAGGAAAAACAAGGCTGGGAAGGTCCAGAAAGCTCAGCTTTTTAAGATGACATGAAAGCATCATGGAAACAGACATGGAGTGAATCAACGAGAGCCAAACCACCACCAGGCACGGCGGCACACCTGCGATCCTAGCAACTCAGGAGGCTGAGGCAGGAGGATCACAAGTTCAAGGCCAGCCTCAGCAACTAAGTAAGGCCCTGTCTCAAAATAAAAAATCAAAAAGGGCTGGGGATGTGACTTGTGGTTAAATGCTCCTGGTGTCAATCCCTAACACACACACAAAAAAAAAAAGAATCAACAACAACAAAAAATTTGAATTCAGCTTTCATTTCAAAAGGTTCCAAAAATAGACCAGAGGCGAAAACAATTGAACTCATTGCCCTCATCCCTAAGGATGGCAGGTTACCTCCCAGTGGACAGTAGGACAGGGGACAAGAGGACAGAAAACTCAACAGCCGACTGAAGCACCTACCTGTGTGTGGAAATGAGTGTGGTGCTGTCTTCAAGTTTAATGATTCAGATTTAAGTTTACTACTTTTTAAAACATTTTTTAGTTGCTGATGGACCTTTATTTTATTTATTTGTATGTGGTGCTAAAAACCAAACCCAGTGCCTCCCGAATGCTAGGCAAGCACGCTACCACTGAGCCACAACCCCGGCCTCTTTTTTGTGGGCTGGGGCTGTGGCACAGTGCCAGAGCACTCGCCTAGCATGTGTAGGCACCTCATAAAAATAAATAAAATAAAGGCATTCTGACCTTCTACAACTACAAAAAAAAAAAAAAAATGGTGGTGTCAGGGCAGCCACCCAGGGCCTCCCCGATGCTGGGCGGCCTCTGCCTCTGGTGAGCCCAGCCCACCACCTTCTTTGCAGCTTGTGCCTTCCAGGCCTTCCCTGAGAACCTCTCCCACTCCCAGGCCAGGCTCCTTAGAAGCAAGCCGCCAACATCAGGCAGCTGCGCTCAGGACCCTCGTGCTTCGACTGCGGCCCCTTCAGGGCCCTGAGAGTGGTCCAGCTCAGAAGGCAGCCCCTCTTGCTGCACGGTGCCCGCCGCATGCCCAAGAAGGACGTGTGTCCTGCCATGCTGGGCACTGAGGCCCCTGGGCGCCACCTCGGTCTGGCTGGTCCCCAGCTCTCTCTCCAATGTCTGATCACTTTAAGGTCTTCTTTAAACTACTTTCAAAGTAGATGAGAAGGCAAAGGGCGGTAGTTAACTTGTAGAAAGCAAACAGAAGGAAGCGGGTGGCTGGAAACCACGTCAGGAGAAAAGGCTTGATGGGACTAACTCCTGACAGGGCTCACTGAGGTTGATGTGAAGCCAGGAATTACAGCCGAGGGGTCTCCATCTGCCTGGGAAGGAAGACTCCTTTAGGAGCGCAAGCGCCCTGAACTAACTTCTGACCAGCCACTGACCCCAGTGCTCACGTTAACACGGGATTGACTTGTGCATGAAGCCCCTTAAATAGGATGGGTCCCCTGGACGGTTCCGGAGGGGACCAACTACAGTCAAAACTCCACCCCCAACATGAAGAGCTGAACACTGACAGCAGAGCGCGCAGAGGGGGTCCCAGCTCTCCTGGTACAAGGAATAAGCTCGGAGACAGCGTTCTCTGCTCAGAGACATCCCCTCTCTCTCAAGAGTGCTTTCTGGGGCGGGGGACACACTCAGTTGGAAGAGAATTTGCCTGACATACACAAGGGCCTGGTGCAATTCTCAGCACCAAAAAAAAAGAAAGAAAAAAGACGCTGTCCAGCTGAGCCTGCCTTGCTTCACTTCACGTTCAGGTGCGTGACTTTGGTGCTGACTGTAAACTTTCCTTCATGGCAATCCCAGCGCCGAGGCCTCGAGTTTTAGCTCCTGCTCTCCTGACACCCCCAGTTTCCACCCATCTGCCCACGCCAAGGGCCGGCCTTGACCTTTCCACCGTTGTTCTCAACACACTCCCTGACCCCCGCCTGGACGTCTTTGGGTTTCACCCCCGTGTCCTCGCTGGCCCTGGAGAGGCCTCGTCTCAGGTCAGGGGTTATGAGGGAGGGGCCAGGGGTTTGCTGTAGCTTCAGGGAGACTCGTCCATGGAAAGGATCCATCCCGAGAGCAGGGCCATGGTACCCGTCAGAAGCCAGAGCCTGAGTGCCCATGGCCACTGGCTCCTCTCTCCTGCTTCAGCGAGCTCCTTGTGTCCAGGTCTCAGGAACAGTGACTCTTCCTGTGCTTAGTCCCTGGCCACCCTGGATGGCCACTGTCTTGCCCACACTGCAGGACCCAGTGAGCCCACGGTCATTGCCTCTGTACTCTTGCCCACCCCAGGCAGGACACTACAGGAGGCCTGAGCCGCCCACCCACAGGGCAGCTCTGTGCCTTCACAATCAGTGCAGAGAGTGGGGGGGTCCTCTGCTTCTCCCGGCCAGTTCTCTGGCCTCAGATTTATGGCCAGCAAAAGGAGGTGCCTGCTCTAAGCCCTGCCAAAA